CTGCTAGCTGCTGAGGCTGAGAAGCCCCAAGGTTGACAAGTAAAAAGGCACAGTCCCGATGTTACCAAACCACACGGCAGGCCATTAACTTAAGTCCATTTTAAGTCCCAAGGTCGGCAGAGCATAGCAGGCTGCTGAGCAATGACACAGCTACGTGCAGGGTCCAAGTGTGCCATAGGCTAGAGACCATTCTCAAAGCTTCTCCTTATATACAGGAAGCAGTCCACATCCCAAAGGCAGCTTCTCAGCTGCTGTGGTAGATTCCACCATGGAGTTAATTGCCAGTCTCCTCATGGGGATTAACTACCACCAGCTGCCCAGCCATTCAACCAGGCCCAGCCAAGTTGACACACAACATAACCACCACAATTAGGAAACCTGGAAATTGGGAATGAGGACATTTGAGAGGATTCTAATGACTCTGAGTGGCTTGAACCTCCAAATTCTACTGAATCCCTTCTCAGCATAAGCAGTGCTTCCTCTGCTATTCAAGGAGGTTAACAACCCCTTGGTTTGTGGACTCTGTATGGACTTCACCTGAGGCAATTACCTTTTAAGAGGCTGCCTAGTATCCTCAACACCCAACCCTACCCCCCTACCATTCTTCATCCAGCATATCCTGAAGAGTAGGGGTTGCGTACAGGGACCAACATAGAAGACATGTACATACTGAAAAAAATAACAAGATTTTGCCAGCTTACGTTGGTGGAAACCTGAGGAATATATTTAGGAATGTATTTGTAAGGTGTTATATTAGTGAAGGGGAGCTCTGGTAGCATAGTGCCTAAGGCACTTGACTGCTAACCAGAAGACTGTTGGTTCAAACCCACCAGCCACTCCTCGGAAGGAAGATGGGGCAATCTACTTCTGTAGTGAAACCCAAGGAGGGGTCGCTATGAGTTGGGTCCAACTCAACGGCATATAACAACAACAACATCATACTAGTGAGGAAGGAATATAATGTTGAATGGGTTAAATCTGTTGATTATAGACTATTACAGATTGAACTGTGCTCCCTCAAAATATGTACTGAAGTCCGACCCCTTACCTGTGGCTGTGATCTCATTTGGAAACAGAGTTTTTTAGTATGTTAATGAAGTCTTACTAGACTAGGGTGTGTCCTATACCTAGTAACCTCTGAGTTATAAAAAGATCAGAACAGGCACAGACACACAGAGTCAGGAGGAAGATGCCATATGAAGACAGACACACACAGTAGATCCATCTCCAAGCCCAGTAGCTCCAAACATTGCTGCAACTAGAGGCTGAAATAGACAAAGAAGGCCCACTCCTAGAGCCACCCCCTGAATATGGACATCTAGCCTTATATACTATGAGAAAATAAATTTCTGTTTTTTTAAGGTCACCCACTTGTGGTATTTCTGTTACACTGGATAATGAAGACACAGTTCAGGATTTAGTTAGCTTAAATACCTAAGAGTGACTTTAATAGTTTGCTGGGTTGGCTGGCTGAAACATTGG